TCTAAACTCTTTGAAGAATTCTAATAACTCTTAATAGTTTATTGTAATGCCCATGTGTACACTTACAGACAGTGTTTACTAAGTGGTGGCAGATCTGGTACCGGTGCTCAGGCTAGAGAGTTAACATCTGTGCGGATGCTTCAGGATGGGCTCCAGGGATTGATGGGCAAGCTTGCCTCCCTCAACAGGTTTTAGTGCTATCCCTATGTGGAATAGATCCTATCTCCCAGGGCCGGCCTCTGCTGCAGCTGCCTTCACTAATCCAGGTTCAGATTCTGGTGCAGAGTCCCCTCAGGGACTCCTAGGATCTCAGACTAACCCATGCATGTGTTTGTGCCTGGCAACCAGGCCAACAGCTCAGCATTTCTGGTGCCCACTGTTGCCTGACTGATCTTCTGTACATTTCATTGTTTCATCAGACTTTACTTAAAAAAAAAAAAAAAAAAAAAAAACATAAATTCAGCCCTACCCGGTTTGGCTCAGGAGATGGAGCATCAGCCTGCGGACTGAGTTGTCCCAGGTTTGATTCGAGTTGGGGACACATGCCAGAGTTGTGGGATCGATCTCCAGTGGGGGGCATGTGGGAGGCAGCCAGCCAGTGATTCTCTGTGATCATCAATGTTTCTATCTCTCCCTCTCCCTTCCTCTTTCTGAAATCAATAAAAATACATTTAAAAAATATAAGTTCAAATATAGAATTATTAAGAATTTCAGGATGGTGAGAGCAAAGCATTATACCAAATGCTAGAGAACACAATCTATAAAATTCACAGGTCACACATCCATGAAATCACTTCTGAATCCAGTAAAACTCAACCAGGGGTGATTGTGTCCATCAGGTGGACTACCTTTGATTCTAACTACCGTATTTTTCGGACCATAAGACGCACCGGACCATAAGACGCACCAGTTTTTAGAGAAGGGAAATGAAGAAAAAAAGATTCTGAAACAAATAGTGTCCTAAAATATTTTATGTGCATTAAAACCCAACATCACAGTCATAAACACATGTAATCAACCCTGTAAAGTAAACAGCAGCATTTAGAACCATTTTAGAGCTGGGCAAGCACACAGAGACCACACAGAGCCGGGCTAGTAAAAAAACTTTTTTTTTAAAGTATATGTGTAGGCTATAGTTGGACCATAAGACGCAGGGACTTTTTCCCCCCCACTTCTGGGGGGGAAAAAGTGCGTCTTATGGTCCGAAAAATACGGTACATGATGTTTCAATTGAGCCCCAGAAAGCAAAAGTGATAAGATATATTAGCCTAAAGGTAGGTCCTTACCAAGGTCTGGCATTCTCAGTCACAGAAGGCATATCTCCCCTCTGCACAGTGATTCTCTTGTGAAATCTCCCAGGAAACTCCAGTTCTGAGCTGTTCCTATACCTTCTTTCAGCTATAGTCTCCTTCCTGGGGGAAAGGAGTGGTGACTACAAAGGATTTGGAAATTGCTTATTGCTCAAGTAACAAGTTTAGGATGAGGTAGGGGAGGCTCTGCTCCACACAGTCATTCTAAGTTGCTGGTAATTCCAACATCCTAAAATGGTAGCTTCAAAGTCACTACAGGTGCTGACATCTAGTTGCAAATGGAGGTGCACACTTAGTCCAGAACTTGGAGGTGATACAGATCACTTCATGTTCAATTCCAGTGGCCACAAATCAGAAATATTGTCAGGCCTAAGTACATGAGCCTGGGAAACTTAGTCTAATTCTGTGCACAGGATGATGAGGAAATGGTGTTAAGATCCCCTTCTAGCCTCTACTACAAGAAATTTTCAAAAATGGGAGATTTGGAATAAAATGAATATAATGCATTCCCAGCCTTTTTGAGATAGGTCTGTTGGGGCAGACTGCCTGGAGAGGCAGCTTTCCATCTGTGATTCCTTGTACTCATTGATAGTGTTGGGTTCACATTACAGTTTATGTTCTGGGAAGAGCAGGGGTGGAATATCCAGCAAACTAGTGCCAAACTGACTGGTACTTCTAATGATAAATGATCAACTTGGCTTTTGAACAACTCGGTCTTGAGTGTCCTTAGAGTGAATCATTTGCTCAAGTCATCATTGTTCTGTGTGTAGTTCAGAAAAGTCAAATTCATAACTACGGAGGTGAAAGCAACATTGAGATCATTCTAACTCTACCTGCCTCACATCAAACAAATCAACATTATAAATAAATTATGTAGCATTAAATTTTTGATGCCAAAAGACTTCTTTAAAACACATGATATAATTAATTTTGGTGAACTTTAATCTGGTTCTTCATGGCAAGTAGGAGAACTATGACTATAAAGCAATAATCCTTTCCTATTTCACCTTGTCAATATTTTAGAGGACCAAGCTTGAGGAATTGTTAAAAGAGGGCATCTAGCTAATTGGGCAAAGCCTTATGGCAGAAAAGTATCTGAATCAGTTCTAGTTGACTCCTGTTGTTGTGACATAATCATTAAAAATATCCCCTTTCACTCTCAAAAGAGTCCTGGTTTGTACAAAAAATTATATCCTGTGACCAGGGAGCAGTACAATTATTTGCTCACCATTGTTTGCAGCAGCAAAACCAGCAGTTCAGAGTTGTCAGGACACTCAGGCTGATTCAGGGTGGAAGGAAGCTGATTCCCCAGGAAATTACAGGAGAATGATGCTTTAACCAGAACACTGAGCTATTCACTTAATTAAGAACTGCCAAGCAGAGTGGAAACTTAATTGCCAAGTAGAGTGGAAACTAATGTTGGTTTATCCTATATAAGACCAGTGACCAAAAAGGCAGAACCACCAGAAAGACCACGGACCCTCACCCCAGCTGGCCTCACCCCCTAGCCAGCAGTAAGGAATGATCAGGCAGGTGGGCGGGCAAGTAGTTAGGGGTGGTCAGGCAGGCAGAGTGGTTAGGGGCAATGAGACAGGCAGGCAGAGGTGGTTAGGGACATCAGGCAGGCAGGCAGAGGCAGTAAGGGGCGATCAAGCAGGCAGACAAGTGGTTAGGGGTGATCAGGCAGACAGGCAGGCAGAGGTGGTTAGGGGCATCAGGCAAGCAGGCAGATAGTTAGGTAGCAAGTGGTTAGGGTGATCAGGCAGGTAGGCAAGTGGTTAGGGGCAATCGGGAAGGCAAGCGAGTGGTTAGGGGTGATCATGCAGGCAGGCAGAGTAGTTAGGGGAGATCAGGCAGGCAGGCAGGCTGAGTGATTAGGGGAGATCAGGCAGGCAGGAAGAAGTAGTTAGGGGCAATCAAGCAGGCAGGTGAGCAGTTAGGGGCAATCAAGCAGGCAGGCGAGTAGTTAGGAACCAGTGGTCCTGGATTGCAAGAGGGATGTCTGACTGCCAGTTTAGGCCCCAATCCGCAGGGATCCCTATGGCAGTGTTTCCCAACCTTCTCTCATGATGAGAATCACCTGGTGGAGTTGTTAAAACACAGATTCCCGGATCCCAACTAAGAAGTGCTAAACTAGAATTTTTGAGAACATATAGATAAAATTGCATACCTAACTTAGTGCTCTGTATATAAAATCTGTCTTAGAGCACTAGATAAGTATACAATTTTACCTATATGTTCCCAAAAATTCTAGTTTAGCACTTCTTAGTTGGGATCCGGGAATCTGTGTTTTAACAACTCCACCAGGTGATTCTCATCATGAGAGAAGGTTGGGAAACACTGCCCTATGGGATCCAGCCTTAACTGGCAGTTGGAAATCCCCTGAAAGGTCCCAGATTACAAGAGGATGCAGGCCTGGCTGAGGGACTCCCCTTCCCTCCACCCCCCACCTGTGCACAAATTTCATGCACCAGGCCTCTAGTATGTTAATTGTTTTCTTCCTTGAAAGGTATTTTCCTTGGAACATAAAAACAAAATCCTTGTAATTATCAAAATCATAATTCTTGTAGATGAGACTCAGTTGATCCGTATTAATTGGAGGAGCTGCTATAATTTGCAAGACTTGCTTCAATACTTGGTACTCACACAAAGCTTATCCTTTATTCTACTAAGAGTTTTTCTTTATAATCAGGAAAGTGGCCTTGGTTCTCTTTCCAAAGTGATATTGGGGTAAGCATCAGCCATAGGTAAAGAGTAGAGATGCATGCTTCCAATCAATGCCCTGATCTTTACTAAGATTTTAGGTCCCAAGTTCCCTCATCCATTTGCGAGGCACGTCATGCCAAGGTCAATGGCAGACATCCCTGATGCCTGAGGGTCAACCAGGAGCAGCCTTCTCCATTCCTTCCTTGCAACATTGAAGGTTGCAGAGATCCTGAACATTCTTGAGTGTGTTTAGTGTATATCTTGCTCCTTCTAACCCCAGTACCCAATAAATAATACACTTTGGCCAAAAAAGGAATAAAATCAGTTTTATTAATGGATTGGAGAACACAGCTGGGATTTGAGGCCCAAGTGAGGCTTCTTTCGTCCTCTCTGAAGTGACGACAGCTGAGCCGACTGGGCAAGGCTCGCCAGACTTACCCACCCCATCACAAACGAGGCTGGATTGTGGAGAGCAGTCCTTACTGGGCCCACCACGGGCAGGTCCTGCTGGGTCTGTTTACTGCATGGAGACTGGATGCCCAAAAGCAGGTCCAAGAGAAAGAGAGAGAGAGAGAGAAGCAGGAGGACAAGTAAGCAGGGACTTTTAGCACAGTATCTCCACCCAGAAGAGAAAGATGGCCCAAAGAGTCTCAAATGCATCAATCATAACCATCCCTAGGTTACCCCACAGGTGGAAGCTCCTCCCCAGTACTTTCCTTCCAAGCTGGAATGTGTGTTTAAGAAATATTTTTTCTGTTTATTTGAGCAAGAAATGATAGAATGAGAAAAGGGTTTCTATCAAGAGGCAAGGTTGGTTGGAAGCCTGGAACACTCAACAAAATAAAAATGGCCAAAGGCCATTTTGTGTGACTTCCAGTCTGCAGATACTAACCCTCAATAAAGGTACTAGAGCTGGGACAATAGGTCCATGTCAGCTCATGCCTGAACACTAACCAAAGATTCCCTTTTTTGCCTCTACTCTAGATCCTGAACTTCTGGGGACTGCTGAGTAAGAACTAGAACCTGACAGACTTCACACCCCGCACACCTCCAATGGATGAAATGGATGAAGGGGGTCAGAAGGTACAAATTTCTAATTGTAAGATAAATAAGTTCTCGAGGTATAATATATAGTATGGTGAGTACAGTTGATAATGCTGTATTGCATATTTGAAAGTTGCTAAGAGAGTTAGATCTTAAAATTTCTCATCACAAGAAAAAAATTGTAACTGTTAGGTAGTGGATTTGCTAAACTTAATCATTTTGCAATATAATCATACATACCTAAAACGAATACAGTGTCATATGTCAATTATATCTCGATAAAACTGAGGGGGGGAGAGATAAGAACTTGATAGACTTAAGAGGCCACCACAGCTGGGGTACAATTCCACTGGACACGTGTTCCTATAGCACAGAGCCCTTTTGCTTCATGCAGAATAAAACCCTCTGATTTCACTGTCAGGTGTGCAGTTTTAGCTTTGTGATAAACCAAAGCAGAGGGCCATGCTGTGTGGAGGAGAAGACAGGGGTAGAATAGAAAAGTCCAATTCTCCCAGGGCCGTGAACAGGTAGGAGAAGGTGAATGGCAAGTGTTGCAGAGCCCAGGCCGCTGCGTAGCTATTCCTAGCACAGGAAGACACCCTTTTCTGGGCAGAAATAGTGACACTAAAATCCTTCCTCCTTCCTCCTCCTGTCATGCAGAACACTATTTTTTCTGTTTCTCTAATTACTTTGAGAGCCATAGCTGTCTCTCAGATGGGTGTATTTCCAGGACACCCAATATTCCTGCTTTTAGCCAGGGTGGCTTCTGCAAAATATTACTCCCATCCATTGTCATTTTTTTCACACAGTCACCATTCAAGGGTGACCTCATTTCATGGTCCTAGATGGCACCTTTCTGTAGTTTCCAACAGGCTATTTATATAGTTTTGCTGTGAATAAAACTAAATGATTGCTGAAACATTTTTCCCCAGAGTACATTTATTAGGGATTTCTGCCATCATATTAACATATAAAACAATCTGAATGTTGACATAGAAATGCAAATTTCACTATACAAAGATAAGGCTCCAATTATAGGTAACGTGGCCCCCATATCCCTAGTATTTCAATGAAATCAATTCATTTTGAATTCTTCCCAGAGTTAATTTTATAAATATTAGACAAGCCACAAAATAAATTCCAAATACATAACATTTTACATGTTCCAAGCACAGACAGAAATACGATACTTTACCTACATTTTTTCATGATTCAACTTGCAATAGCACTAAAGACAAGATTGTGTGTGTATATGTATTTGCCATATGTGTGTGTGTATAATTAGATATGTACACACAGTGATTTTCATGAGACTGTTTTATCCACTGTGATAATAGAGGGGAAAAGGAATAATAATATCACAAATTCCTCATTTGGGGAAAAGTAAACACAACTGTGTATTAAGGGCATATCAGTGGAGTGTATACACACACATATTTATATATAAACACATATGCCAATAATACATATACTCACACACTTGCTTTGACCACTGTATCTCACTATATTACTATATACTTTCCATCTTGGAAGCAGTCTTTTTCTCAGTTCATTCAGGCATCTGGTGACTGTCTACCAAACTTAAGTGGTATTTCCTAAAATGGCTCTTATTCTATCTTACTTTTACTTTTGGTGGCTATTGTTAAAATTGAGAGGACTCTATCCTGTCAACTCCTTCACTTAGAAGTATTTCTATTCAATAATCAAGATTTTTGCCTAAGAGAAAAGAGATGTTAGCTGGAAATGTAAAAATAATAAATGTATTATTAGTTAATATAGATCTGCATGGTTGGACTACATGTGATATTTATCCTGTCAGTATTTTTTAAATGTTTTATGATGGGAAATATATTTCTCCCATAATTTAAAAGTATTACTTTAAAGGACGAAGGCTAGATGATTTGACATGGTCAGAAATTGAAGCATAATCAGAAGCGGGTTGTAGAGAGAGAGAGACTGGTGGGCCCTTTTATAGAAAGTATGACTTCAAAGTCATATGAAAAGGGGGGGGGGGGGGAAATAACTTCAATTTCAAAGCTGTTCATTTGCAAACTTCCAAAATGAACTATAGAAAATATACGTGTATATATTTTTATCCAATTTCAGGCATGAAACATTAAAACACAAAAAGAAAGCACATGAAAAAGAACAAACTTAATAGCAAATGAATATTATAAGTTTGCTTAACTGAAGGCTTCATAAGCTGACTTTTAAAACTTACTTTCAAAATTGAATATCTAATAAAGCACTCAGAGCTCCATGAGTAAGTAAAACTGGAATGACAATTGTGGAGATTATGCTAATATAAAACTGAAGTGCCCATTGGAGTTAGGGAGAGATTACAGGAAGCCCAGTCTCTTTGTAAATGAAGGCAATGAAACATTCCTAATTCATAGAGAAATCCCAAGCCTCCTTGCTCTTACCTTTCTCACTCACACCACAGGACTGCTCATTAAGCTGCCTGGGAAGGCATCAGAGCCTTTCTGCCATGGATTTAATGGTATGAAGGAAGGTTCTAGAACATTTGTCCCTTGTCCTGAGACTCACTACTTCACCAAAGCTGAAATATGTCATTTAATGAGAGCCCCGATTATGAATGAGTTCTTAAGGAAACCAGGAAAGGAATATAATTACTATCACAAAAGATAATTGGAATTTATCAAAAAGCCAGAATCCATTCTCTTCCCCACCCCTCTCTCACATACACATACTTCTTTTAAAATTCCTTCCACAGAAACACAATGAATGGCATGAGGAACCAAAACTGTACCTTAACATTTCTCCACTTTTATTTAGATCCACTTAAATATATTCATGTCAACTTGGACAGCGAGTGTGCTGTTTTTTACATTATCCAATACCTTGCATCACCATCACTTCCATAAAATACCGTGTTTCCCCAAAAATAAGACATCCTCCGAAAATAAGACCTAGTACAACTTTGGGGAAAAAAATTAATATAAGACACTTATTTTCAGGGAAACAGGGTAGATCACCTTCCTACCACCACTTGCCTACTAGCCTCACCAAAACAGTTTTTGCTACTTGCCCAACATCTGCTTCCACTCTCAGATAAATGTACAATAACATGCAATTAATTGGCATATATCTTTTGACTTCTTAAAGTTTTGCTTCCTTAACCAAAATATATGGACAGAATGCAAATGAAAGTAACAAGTCCTCTCATCCAAATACTTTTGAAAATGGACCCTGTGGTCCATTTGATGCTCAGTTTCTACATCCTCCAGTTCCATCATTTATTTTAGGGCCTACTTACTACAGTCTTTCTACCTATTTTCTATCTCACATGCAGCTAACAACAAATTATGGGATTTTTTTTATCCAAAAATATTTTTAAAAACAAACCTGGGCCAAAACATTAAAAAATTCCCACAATACCCTTTGTGCATTAGTCTTACAGAGTCTGTACAATAAGGAGGCTTCTTTTTTTTTCTTTTTTGCTAAAAATTTACCAAAATATTCTGAACACATAAAAATATTTTTAAAAAAACAAAAACCCAGCATTAATTTAACTGTATAGGCATTGGTTAGAGGACATTGTTTTTACTAAGGATTATATTCAAAAACCTTCTCTTGAATTTTGACTAAAATTCTGATCCTGAACCTTATATCTTATAATGATGATAACTATTAAAAAGGCGGGAAATCTAATTCAGCTCAATGTATTATGTATTATAATAGATAAAGAGTCTGCCTGTGATATAATAAAAATAAACATTTTGGGTTAAAGGCCATCTTCCTGACCTGTAACTGAAATTACTGTGTTTGATTTAAACTTATTAAGTGCAGTGAATTATGGAAAGCTAACTAAAGGCCTGAATAATCAATTTTGAGTAAGGAATACGTGTTGATGGCTCCATGACCATTCAGAACCAGGCATTTGCTTGAGAAAAACACATCACTAATATTGAATATAGCCCTTAGTCATATGAGATATGTATTTATGAGCAACCCAGCATGTAGAGAATGAGGTTTACTTTGCCAGCCACCCACTCCTTAAGAGGACAGTAATACTCATAGTGAAACTGCTCAAATTCTGGCGTCTGGCGGATTTCACATAAGAAGGAGAGATCAATACCTGACTCCAAAAGGAGGAGGAGCAGGGGGAATACAAAGAGCAGCAGCCCCAGGCCCACCACAAGGAGCCTGGAAAAACTCTTGACCAGTGGGTTCACCCGAATGTGGCTGGTCAGAATGTCATAGCTCCACGACAAAGCTCGGTGAGCCTCCTTTAGCTCCTCTTCTTCGGCCATCAAAAAGGCATTTTCATCTGCTTCTAGTTCCTCAAACGAATCCAGGTCTTCTCTTTCCAACTCATGCCTAGATGGACAGTCAAAGAGCATGTCAATCTCATCATCGTCAACTGGGGTGGGGAGCAGGCTTGCACTGGGGTTGTATGACAGTTCAGAGATAGTCAAAGGCTCTTCTTTTATTTTATCTTCCTCTTCGCTTGGGGGTGCTTCATACTCCCGAGCTTCTTTCACCGGTGAGCTGGAGATCAAGGGGGCAGAAATGGCATCTTCTTTGGGCAAAGGAATACCTGTAAAGAGACATTTTTTTAAAAAAATTCAGGTTTTCTTTTTCCACAAAGATGGAAACACACCAGAAAAAAAAAAAATGCACCTCTTATGGTTGGCAGTGTTTACATTTATGTGTGCAATTATGAACTTCAACTTTGATCATTTGCAAGAATAAAATGACAATAATCACTATTATAATTTTGAATGATGTCTTTTAGAAGTCGACACTGTCAAAGTAGTACAGTAAAATTATACTACTATCCAATTTTAAACAGTTATCCTATCTAATAAAAGAGTAATATGCAAATTTACCATATCTCCGCTTCACCTACAAGTCATGCCAGCCAATCAGTAGTGAGTATGCAAATTCACTCAACCAAGATGGTTGTGGCCATGGAGCAAGCAGGAGGCTTGGGTTTCCCTGGCAATGGAGGAAGCCAAACTTTCCACACACACTGGGTGGCCATTGACTCCACTCAAGGCTATAAAGTTTCAGTAGTAGAAGATAAATAAATCCCAACAAAAATGGCTGTGGCCACTGAGTGATGAAGAGGCTTGGGTTTCCCCGGCAATGGAGGAAACCAAGGTTTCCGCCCCCCTTGGCCTGCAAAGTTTCAATTATCGAAGATAAATAAGTCCTATATACCAGGGCCTCCACTTGAGTCACCAAGGGGCATGGCTGGCCTGCAAACCAGGCCCCTTGCCCAGGCCACACCACACCCTAAAGGAACCGCAATTCAGGGCAAACCAGCCAGCCCCCACCTGTGCACCAGGCCTTTATCCTATCTAATAAGAGTAATATGCAAATTGACCATAACTCCAACTCATAAGATGGCTGCCTCATGTGGACACAAGATGGCCACCACAATATAGCCAGCATGGGAGGGAGGGACCAGGTCTGAGAGGGAGGGAAATTGTGGGTGTGGAGGGCAAATGGGGTGACCAGGCCAGCAGAGGAGGGAAGTTGGAGGTGACCGGGCCTACAGGGAAGGGCAGTTGAGGGGGACCCAGACCTGCAGGAGAGAAGCAGTTGGGGGGAACCAGGCCTGCAGGGGAGGGCAGTTAGGGGCAATCAGGCTGGCAGGGGAGCAGTTAGGCATCAATCAGGCTAGCAGGGGAGTGGTTAGGGGGTAATCAGGCTAGCAGGCATATGCCATTAGGGGCCATCAGGAAGGCAGGCAGGCAAGCTGTTGGATTGTGAGAGGGAAGTCTGACATCCCTCAAGGGGTCCCAGATTAAAGAGGGTGCAGGCTGGGCTGAGGGACACACCTCCCACCCCCTGCACGAATTTTGTGCACCAGGCCTCTAGTGTTATATATAGTTTTCTAGTCTATGTAATTGCAAATATGTGCACAAACTTGTATCTTGCTACTTTTAACATTTTAACTTAGTGGTGTTGTATTATAGAAGTGGTGTTGTATTATTTCAATGTAGAAAATGTTTAGACATTTTCTATATTGAAATAAACTTCATTTCATATTTATAATAGTTGTCAAATTATGTTTAGTTAATACAGTATTAGTTGCTTATTGACAAACATTTAGACTGCTTCACAATTGTAAAGTAAAAAAAAAAAAAAAGTGCTGTAAGAGACATCTTTATATATAAATTCTTCTGTTTTTCAGGTCATTTGCCATAGATGTCCAAAAGGAGAACTGCTTTGTCAAAAGGTATGCATATTACTTCCTAAAGTTTATTGTAGGAGAGATGTCTCAACTCCTCATTTTACAGATGGGAATTCTAGTTAACTACTATCAGCCTAAGGCCAGCTCTCCTAATTTTGAGATGTGGGTACTTAGTGGGAAATCAAAGCAGGATCAAAGACATGTTCTCCAGGATGGTTCTATAATACAATACCAAATTGGTGACCATGTGCATTAGTTAATTGTAAACTAGTTTTTAATGAATATATTTAAGGATTTCTCTCTTCAATATATGCAGAAAGTGATGTCACCCAGATGGTAACATAGGTCAGTCCTGATTTTACTTCCAACTAACAAAAATTCATGGACAAGACACCAATGAGAGAATCCTAGAAGACGGGATGCTAGGCTGAAGTACGCCCTGCACCACAAAGACCAAGGCTGACTGCCCCCAGTCCAGTACAGCATCACACAGAGAGGTCTCCCCTGAGCCTTTAGTGACATCCAAACCCCTGAATATTGTGGGTCATTTCCTGGGAGCCCTTACTTGGCTTCACCCCGCAGGGATTGCAGAGAATCTACAGGACTCAACCACTGGGAATCTGATTGTGGTAGGGGAGGGGCTTCCAACAACCAACATGCAGATCTTAGCAGACTGCATTGGTACTTGCAAAGCCCAAAAAATAGCCCCATTGAGCAGCTTTGTGCATCTGCAGAACCAAGTTGGTGGCATAGTGTGACCAGGGAACCCAGTGGGGTGCAGGCCTGCCTGATTGAAATTCTCCAAAAGTTTTGTCAATCCTGGAACCTGATCTGCCCATGCCCAGGCTAAAGAAATGAGTGTCACAGCCTCAAACACTTTGAGACCTAGCTTCTGGCCCCTCCTGACTAAAAAGTCTGTTCAAGAACATTTAAGTTGCTTGAAGTGAACCCTCACAATGCTCATCCAGACAGGAAGGGCTCTATTACCTGGAAACTATATTACTCAGCAATGCTCAAGCTGAGAGGCAGGTAAGCAAAGTGATGGTCCCTAGAGCAAAACAAGTCGTCCTGTTCAGCCAGGGAAGTTGGAGCACAGGTGAGTTTGAAGACCACAAATGAGGAACCTTAGTGGACTTGAAGCTGCTTCTCCTATTGCACCTGGGCAGAGAAGCTCTTTCATAGCCTCACTCATTGCTGAATACAGCCTTCAGACTGCCCTACCATCCAATAGAGCTGCTTACAGTGACACTTGAAGAGCTTGTAGCTTTTCCTATCTGCAGATAAAAACTGTGGCCTCACCTGACCAAGATATCTAGTGTACACTCTTACCTGATTCTGGTTAACAGTGAGCTTCCCTACCCTGGTGAAGTAGCAGGATGAGACCCAGGCTTGCACAGCTAATTCATAGCCCCACCTACTGCTGAGTATAGACAGTCCTGACAGTGTAGTAGTAATCCTGACCACAGAGTACAGGCAACTACAGAGCCTATTCTATAGCCTCTTTTGGACAGAGAACAAAGGCCAATAGTCCTATGCAGCTGTTCTCAGCCAGTGGCACACGACCTCAGAGCTTGAACCATTGCCTCAACCCAAAATAGACTCTAGTAGCAGACACATCCAACAACCCAAACTGAGCCAACTTGCAGATTTGTTTTGTCACAGCTCTTCAACAAAGTCTGGAAGAAAATACCACTAATTCAAGTACACAGATATCAACATAAATCAATGATCATGAAAAGTCAGGTAAATATGATACCACTAAGAGGAGTTCATAAAGCACTAATAACCCTAAAGAAATAGAGATCTATGACCTGTCAGACAAATCATTCAGAATAATCCTCTCTAAAAAGTTTAGTGAACTATAAGAACACATCGACAGGCAACTAAACAAAATTGGGAAAATAATGAGTGAACAAAATGAGAAGTTCAACAAAAACCATTAAGAAAAATCCCCAAACAGAAATCTTAAAGCTGAAAAATACAATAACTAGACGGAAAAATTCAGTACAGAGCTTCAGAAGCAGACTAGACCATGCCAGGGAATCAGCAACCTGGAAGATAAGACATTTTAAATTAGCCAGTCAGAGGAACAAAAAGAAAATTGAATGAAAAAGTGAAACAATAGCCTGGGAATTCCAGAAGAGGAAAAGAAAGCATATTTAAAATAATTGCTAACTGTGGGGAGAGAAATAGACATCCAAATTCAAGAGGCCCAAAAGACCCCCAAATAAGTTGAGTCCAAAGCTATGCTGACACATTATAATTATCAAATGCCAGAGAAAAGATGAGTTGTATACAAGGGAACCCCATAAGTCTCTTAATGTACATATCAACAGAAACTTTTCAGGCCAAAAGAGAACAGGATGACATACTCAACATATGAAAAAGAAAAAAACTGTCAACCAAGAAGACTATCTTGCAAAGCTGACCTTCAGAAATGAAGGATAAAAGCTTTCTCACACAACAAAAGCTGGGGAAATTCACTAGACCTTCCTTATCAGAAACACTAAAGAGAGTTCACTGAGTATAAGTAAAAGGACACTAATTAACATAAAAACATAGGTTAGTATAAAAGTCAATGGTAATGGTTTAGTTTAAAAGTTAAAGAAAAAAAACAAAAAATAACCATAACTACAATAATCTGTTATTACAATAGTTACACATACAAGGAATGGTAAGTCAATAACCCAAGTGGTGAGGGGGAGGAGTAAAAGTATAAAGCTTAGGAATTGTATTGAAATTAAGTTACTATTAACTTAAAATAAGGAGTTATAATCTAATAATACAGGAACATGCAAATTAGCCAGGACACCGTAATGTCACGACTGAACAGCAGGGACATGAGGCTGCATGGACCTGGCTGGGGCAAGGGCCTCAGGCTGCAGCCCCGCCCCAGAGGGGCTTGACGGGGGACCTCAGGTTGTGCCAGGAGACCTCATACCACAACCCCCTCTCCAGCACCAGGCCAGGGGACCTAAGGCCGAACCCCCCATCTGGTGGGGTTTGACAAGGAACCTGAGATTGCACCCCCCACCTTCAGGGGCTTGATGAGGGTAAGGCCGGCCGGGTCTGGGTCTTCTGCATTATCGAAGCACGTGCAGGTGGTGGGTAGGGACTTGATTTTAGGTCCCAATACTCTGACAGGAGGGAGGTTTTCATACACATTTTACTAATTTTCTTTATCTCTGACACTTCTATTATAGAGAAAGGGCAAATAGAAATATTAAAATATTTCCTCTTAATTCCCTTTTAATGTGCATGAATTTCATGCACCAGGCCACTAGTTTCAAGATATTTATATATAAGCTTCATGGTAACCACAAGGGAAAAACTAGTAATTACACAAAGGAACATGATAAAGAAGTCAAAGCATACTAATACAAGAAGACATCAAAACACAAATACAGCAGGATAAGAAATTTTTTAAATGGAGCTACAAAAGAGTTAATTCAATTATGATAGTAAGCCCTTACTTATCAATATTACTTTAAACATAAGCAGATTAAATTCTCCAATCAAAAGACATAGAATGAATAAAATGGCAGAATGAATAAAAAATAAGATACAATGACATGTTGCCACTAAGAGACTTATTTTATCCTTAAAAGAGTGAAGGGGTGGAAAAAGTTATTTTAAGTAAATGGTAACAAAAAACAGGGGTAACTATATCAGACAAAATCAACATTAAATTAAAAATGGTAAAAGAGGAAAAGGTCATTATATAATGATAAAGAGGACCCTACATCAAAACACAATAATTACAAATATTGTATTTATACACCCACCCCTCTGTCAAAACTGTTAGGGCTCATTAGCATAGTACAGGTTTGTCAATGATGCTGAAACTCTCCTCTAGCCATATGCACATACAAACACAGCATGAAAAGGGTTCAACTAGAAGAGTTCTTCAGCTTATTAACAGCAATGAAAGGAATCATTGCATATGAATGTGTAAGAAGTATTTCCCCTAAGTACATAAAGCAAAACCTAAGAGAGCTACAAGGAGAAATAAATAACAATACAGTCCTAGTAGGGAATTTCAATACCCCAGTCTCAACAATGGACAGGTCATCCAAACAGAATCAATGAGGAAGCAGCACATCTGAACAACAATATGAACCAAATGGCCCTCACCTGTATTTACAGAAAATGTTATCTGACAACAGCAGAATACACATTTTTCTCAAGTGCACTTGGAGCATATTCTAGGATAGATTGTTAGGCCATAAAACAACTCTTAGCAAATTCAAGAACACTGAAATCAATAACAAGAGGAAAAACAGAAAATTCACAAATACATGGATATCTATCTCTATATATAAAAGTCTAAGTGACAGTTTGATTGTCCAATGGCTGGTACATACATATGATGTGCATTAACCACTAGGGGGCACACACTCAATGCAGAAGCTGCTGAGCTGCGGTGACTGGGCAGCAGCAGTTCTCAGGTGATGCACCCCAAAACCAGAAAGAAAGGAGCCTGATTCCTCGCAGGGCCGCAGTATTCCACCTTCAGCTATAGGTGCATGAACCTGTGCATGGAGCCACTAAACGATACTCTACTAAACCAATGGATCAAAGAAGAAATTAAAGGGTAAATAAAAAAGTACCTTGAGACAAATGAAATTGGAAACATGCCATACCAAAATTTATAGGATGCAGCAAAAGCAGTTGTAAGAGAGAAATAAGTAGTAATAAACACCTATGTTAAGCAAAAATGTCCCAAATATACAACCTAACTTTCTACCTTATGGAACTAGAAAAAGTTGAACAAAATGAGCCCAAAGAGAGCAGGAGGAAGGAAATAATGAAAATTAGAATAGAAATAAATAATGAACAGAGAAACAAAAGATTAACCAAACTAAGAGCTGGTTCTTTGAAAAGATGAAATTAGCAAAACTTTAAGGAAAAAATAAATAAAAATTATAAATGAAAAAGGAAACATTACAACTGATGCTACAGAATAAAGAATCATAAGAAGGTTCTATGAATAACCGTATGCCAACAAACTGGACCTAGAAAAATGTTTTTAAATTCTTATAATC